CGGATGAAGAAGTAATGAATTTATAACGGAGTTTTCCTGTCCCGGCCTACTAAAATAATATAGTAAAAATAAAGTCAAAATTAGCCGACAGAGTCTAAACGAAAGTTGTAGAGCGTAGTCTCACCTACGCGGGGATATAAAGAACGTCGAAAATGGAGTTCGTATGAGGAAGATATGAATTTTTGAAGTTTATTAAATATTTTCGGTATTTAATTTAAATAAATATTATCTGATATTATCCAGGGGGGAGTCAGCGACCCTATCCTCATTACGCCCAGCGTAATTTCAAATTACGCCCAGCGTAATTCGTTGTTCCAGCCACCTATAAAAGGAAGTCGAGTGCAGCCGAGTTCTTTGCTCATTTCCTCAATTTCTCTCGCGTTTTTGCATCGTTTTTCGTGCAACAATTATCCCGAAGCCCCGGTATCATTCCCGAGACCCGAAGCAAGTCCCGAAGCCCTGAAGATCCCGAGAAGTGAAATTCCCGAGCCGAAGCTCTGCCCGCAAGAAGCCAATTTTTGTGAAGATCTTCCAGATCTACCGAAGAATACTACTTCTACAAGCCGTAGTGCTGTCCGGTCATCTTCTAATCAAGTGAGTGTGTGGTCCCTTTCTTCTAACACATAAATATTAAGTATTTGCTATGAAATACGTGCTACGTGTATAATATTTTGTTGTTTATTTGAGATGATTGTGGAATGGGTGAATTATATAAGTTTTAATGAGTTAAACTATATACATATTTTGTATCTAAAGATATGTTGGGTAGAACATGAGTAGATGAGGTTGTTGGTAGGTGATAAAAGGTGGGTTGGACCATTAGATAACAGGATAAAGAGATAAACTTGTTTTAGATCTGGATGTATGGATCAGGTCAGGAGGTTAGTTTTAGATCCGAGAGTATGGATCAAATCAAGAGGTTAGTTTTAGATCCGAGAGTATGGATTAAATCAAGAGGTTAGTTTTAGATCCGAGAGTATGGGTCAAATCAAAAGGTTAGTTTTAGATCCCGGAATATGGATTATGTAAGGAGGTAAATTTTAGATCCGGGATTACGGATTATGTATTTTTGAATTACGTGTTCATACGATAAAGTATCATGCGTATAGTCCCTTTTAGGAATGTGATTTTTATACGTGTATTGATTAAAGTATGAAATATACATCTAGCTTGCTGACTCTCCTAGTGGTTTGGCGGCAAGGAAAGGGGCATTCGGGAAGCGACTAGTCGCTTCTGGCGAAGCTTCTAGAAGGCCGACCACTACATAGAGAGATCCATATACCATTCATGAGCGATAGCGAAGCCTAGAGAGGCGGAAGCAGTAGCTTCTAGGACGAAGCCGAGCCACTAGTGGAGTGGCCAAGGAGGCCTACTATACCGATACTGGATTAGTAAACGGTGAAATCCCCCAATCAAAATTGAAGTGAACTATTGAACAGTGTGATTGATCAAACAAGTACCAAGGCTTTCGGTAGACTTCTTTCATTTCCGAATTTGCTTGCGACAAGTCCTAGCATTAGTATGAGTTCGTTGACCGCGTAAGGGTGATCCATCTTGATGACGAATTCCACTATATTAGTATAATATAAAGCGCTAGCGCCCAACCGGCTTTCCGCCTCCATTTGGTCGTGCTGCTATGATGTAACGTGCAGTCGTCCCGAGGCATTTTAGGGCCCCCCATTTTCTCTCCCTTAAAGCCCTTTATGGATTTCAAGTCGGGAATAGAGCTGTGACTTATTCGGCGCTATATCACAATTCATTCATTCTCGGGCATAGCTATTCACGAAACGTGGCATGGGACATCTGTCGGCGGCGGGTGAATTCCGAGCGAGAGGTCAAACCAATCCCATTCATCCTGGTCTGATCCGAACGGATCTTGTTGAATGAATTGATCCATTGTTCTATGCCCTACTTCTTAGTTCATTTTTTCCTACTCGGACCCGCCGTACTTCCTTTGACTACTCCTGAGATATAGTGGAAACATTTTGTTCTGGTGGAGAGTGGGGAGTGAAAACACCAATGCAGCAGAGAACGACCACATGAATCGGAATCCGCTTAACTTGGATCATCTGAGATTTCTCTATCTATATTATCATAAATATGTTTCATGACATTCAAATAAATGAACTCATTTATGATTCTTAGAGGACGCCCCAGACTAATAATTGCATTATTATAAATACCAACAATTTTTTTGCTATGATACGTGGAACTTATAAAGTTGTCGTGAACAGTATAGATAGGCGCTTTATAATAAAGCATCTGTTCTACCACTTTCATAGCAATATGTGCATCCTTCTGATGGATGAAGTTGACGAAGGATGAGATCTCTGTCTTCCTGCGATCTCGTGTATCAGTAGCTACTCTCAGAGTTACTTGACGTCTTTTCTTATGCAATTTATCATAAACCCAAATATTGATTGGTTCCATCTTCATATAGTCCTGGATTGTTAGAATGTTCTCTACCTCATACAGTACTGGGCGATCACTAGCTGAGGCAACCTAGCCTATACTACGGATCAAACGGATAAAACATTCCATGTTATGAAACCTATCTTTCCAGAACTCAAAGCACAGTTTTGCAATCTGAAAGCACTCCTTCGGTGTCAGGAATCTAGAGAGACTCTCCTTTATATCGTGAGCTGTGCTCATAACCGTCTTCCCATAGATTATAGGCATAAAGATCGATTTCACTATCTTTCTATCGAGTACCTCGATAAGGGTTTCGGAGAGATTTCTATCTTCTAGTTTTTGAACTATATAAATTTGCAGTTCATTTAGGATAGATATATAAATATCTTCTATTTCACCTTTAGGAGATTGAATTAGATTCGTCTTCCTCGCCATCCATTCATCCAGCAAGAAATAAGACATGATTTGATACGCACTGGCTGAAGCATCTTGGGTAATAGGCATGCGCATAATAGATTCTAAATTACAATAATAGACAGGTAGAAAAACTAGATAAGAACTGAAAGGGATGTTTAGCCTTAACAGCATGCTTGATAAAACACTTCGCACTATCCGAATCCGATAGTATGAAATCTCTTCGGGAGATACAATCCTCCAGCATTAGTGCGGTGATTTTGTCCTTAAAGCAACTCAATGCACCCATGTCAGACTTGAAGGACTGAAATTGGAAGCATGCAGCAACTACAGGGTTTACTCTAACTCTCCCACTCCAGTCGTTGCTTTTCTTTCTGTTACTTCGAAAGTAGCTGCTTCAGCTTCAGCCACTCGAATTTTCGATATTCCTTTTTATTTCTCATCA